CTTCTTCGCTTAAGCTTCATGGAAAGAGGAATTGTAAGTGTGTTACTTCCTAATTTACTGTATACTTTTAGACAAAATTATTTATATCAATACCACTTATTAAATATATTTTTTAATTTTATTTTTTTAAATAAAAATATAACTTTTTTAAATTTTTTATTTAGTATTTCATTTGTGACAAATATTAAAAAGAGAGAATATATAATAATGATAATATTATTCTATATTTATATTTTAAAATGAAAAAAATTAATTTTTTGATCCTTGTAGTTTTAACTTAATTGTAATATAATTTATGAACTTTGACTCATTATAATTCAGTTCTTGAAGTTATAACTAAATTATAAATTAATTTCTGAACTTTGCCTCTTACAATTTAATCTCTGAAGTTTCAATTCCTTAAATATTGATCCTTATATTTTATAATATAAATTTATAAGATTAAAATTTTTAAAAAATTTATTACTAATATTTTAAATTATTAAACCCTTTTAATCTTTATAAATATTATAAATAATAAAAATTTTAATTTTTATAATTTTATTTTTTAAATATATGGATTAGTATTTAAGAGGTTAAAATTTTAAGGATTAAATTATAAGAGATAAAATCTAGAAATTAATTTATAATCAAATTAAATTTTAAAATTAAATTACAATGAATTAAAAATAAAAGATTAAATTATAACTGAATTAAAATTATAATGGTGAGATGATTAATTTTTTTTTTAAAATGCTAAACTATCTTTACAGTTCCCTGTCAATGCAGAAAACGAGGAGTGTATTGTTTCGACTTTCAATGAATGTGTTGAAAACAAGAAAGGAAAATTAATTGAAAATTGGCATTAATGTGATATTTTTGCTGTTCAACAACAACCGTTCAAGTGGCAGGTGGTTCATTCATGTGCCTCCCCGCAATTCAGGCGATTAGCTCAAACTAACATTCTCACATGGCCCACTCTCCATTATCGCGCTTAACCACTACGCTCTTACCATTATATTAATCATTGCTTCAGCTTCCCTTAATCATCGCCCAATCACTAACCTAAATTCATTAATTGTATTGACTTTTTAATCTCACCTACCATCTCAATATTACCTACCCAGTTTTTATTTTTTAACTCATTAGCATGTATTGGTAAAAAAAAAAAAAAACTCATTAGCATGTATTCCTTCCATCCTTATATATAAAATATATTTTTAATTGAATCAAGCATATTAATAAAATTTTGTTATTTAATTAAAATTTTATTAAGTCATAGTAATTTTATAATTTTATCCATAATAATATCAATTAATATCATAATGGTAATGGGTAAAGCATATAATTAATATCTTTTCCTTTAAGATAAAGGCAAAATTATTTAATTATTTAAAAATATTATGATACTTCTTATATTTATAAATAAAATAAACTGTTAAAAAATATCATATATATATATATATATATATATAAGAATGGGGGGAGTAGCTCAGTTGATGCAAGACTGTTTTAGCTTAATTAGAAGTCTTAAATCTTAATCTTGAACCTGTAATTACATTAAATACTGGGTAGCGTTTTGTTGTCTAAAGGGATCCTATCGTATATACTTAGGCTATGGGAGATCTTCTAAGAATTATATCTATTATATATTTAATAAAAAAATAATACCAAAAAGTGAAAAAAATGTATAATCTATTCCTTATTAAGCAGTAGAATATAAATAATTTTTTTGGATGGAGTTAAATATAGATTTTTTTTTTTGGAATGAACCTGTTATCATCAAATTATAAAAATCCAATCCCAACTCAATATATTGATGAACAAAATCGATTAGAGGACTAAAATAGCATCAAACATAAGCAACAGAATAAAAATGCAAGAAAGACAGACAGAGAGAGAGAGCTTTGTCCCAAGAGGAGAGAGATCACAAAATCATTCTACACCATACTTCTACCCTCTCCTCATATATAGCATTGGGTTCACATTTATAATTCTCTTTCATTTCTATTTTTCTTAACTGC